CCTAGTTACACACCCCGGGAGGTCTTAGAGGGACGGCCGGGCAGCGGCAGTTGAGGCAGGTGAGGCAACGTGCCAGCTACGCTGGCCGCAGGGTGAGAAATGACAAATTGAACCCTCTTTTGCAAAGTTTAGCCAAAAATGACCCACCTCCCAAACTTATACCTAACCTAACCCTTTTAGTTAATGCCAAGCTCAAATGCATTGAACTTGCCTATGTGACTATGTCAGTGCCATGTATCTCAGCATTGGAGAAAAATTAGTGTTTCCCAATCGAAATGGGTGTCACGAGAATAACGCCATGGTCTGTGGCATGGAGCTTTTAGAGCTCAACGACATAGTCCATGGAGTTGACTCTCTCAAAATTGCACCATCATTTTTGCCACCCTCATGGGGTCAACGCCATGGACTGTGCCATTGACCTCTAATAGCTCAACGCCATGGTTTGTGGCGTTGACATTGGAATCTTAAAGCTAAGTATTTTCCAACACTGAGGTATGTGGTGCTCACATAGCCAAGGTCAACACGAGGAAAAGGGTTAGGTTTCGTTAAAGTTTTGGAGGTGGTTTGTGTTTTGCTGGACTTCAAGAAAAGGGACAATTTTGTTAATTCTCATGGCCGTGGGCAGCTGAATACGGTGGTTGTTCCAGACTGGCCGGCTTGTCATCGACGGTGGGCACGGTGGCAGTCTTGGTGAGTGGAGTCGAGTGGTGGCGGTGGCCCCCCTGCTTCCTTGTGCATGTTCAGACCGCAAGACGACTGATGAACAGGACTGGTCCAAATCGACCATTGGGGAGCTCTGCTGCGGCCGACCGTGAACTAACTCTGCTCTAATCTCTCTAGGACAGTAGAAGGCACACAGTTTGTTGATTGTGGCTGCCAAGACCCCCTTAATTATTTTTCCTTGGGTGACTTAAGTTTGAAGCTTTCTTTTTGGAGATTGAAAACTAAGATTGAAGTTCGTAAGCCCGTTTATTTATGTGTAGTTGCATTTGCCTGACTATTATTACAGCTTGTGTTTCAAGTTATGGCGCTAAACAGATAAAAGTGAGTGTTTGCAGTTCGTTACATGTGTCAAATTCAGCTAGGAACAATATTGCCAGTGGGACAAAATGCTATTCTGCTTCTGCGTGTAATACTATATGCTGTAGCTCCCTCTAAAAGTGATGTTTGCAGTTAGTTACACACATCAAATTCAGTTCAAAACAACATTGCCAGTGGGACAAATGAGCGTTTGCAGATAGTAGTTGCATACTTCAAATTCGGTTGAGAAAGAACATTACTGGTGGTACACCAATGCTGTTCTGCTTCTGCCTGTTTAATACTACTACAAACCCCTATGATCTGTTCCAAATTCAGTTGAGAAACAATATTGTCGGTGGTACACCAATGCTGTTCTGCTTCTGCATGTGTTGTTCTTCCTGTGTGTATACTATGCCGCCAATAATCTGTTCCATTTTGCTGATACGTAAAGTATTGATTCTGCATCAGCTGATTAATTCTTGTCTTGCTTGCACAGAGTCAATTGATGGAGCCAGAGTCAGTCAGATGAACATCCTCGTCCTCACAACTCCGGGCGGTTGCGATTTCGGCATCGTGGACTCCGCGCAGATGCGATCGCCTAGCCTGCAAGAGGACATGATTTAATCTACAGTGGACTCGCTGTTGAGTGCTTACGCCTCATTGCTATATACAGTATGTAACATCGATCGTGTGGCTACTCCCTCCTGAAACTAGGAACGTTTGTGAAGGACAGGGAAAGAGGTTCCTGAGTATTTTATTTCTTTTGTTACCGTGGCTGTTTCTACTTCTTTGCCAGCCTGACTCACAAAAACGAGGGTGGTGTTGGCTAGTTGACTGCCTGTTGGTAAGGGCATCTCCGGCCGCGCCCCTAGGAAGGCCTCCCCAGGCGTTTTTTTCGCGCCGGCGCCGAAAAAACGGCCCAGTCGCGCCCCCAGGAACCCGATTTTCGCCGGCTTGGGCCGAAAACAGCGCCGGCGGACCCAGCCCGAACCCGGCGCGCTGGGGGACGCCCGGGGGCGCCGGGCGAACTGTTTTGGCGCGAAAAAGCCGCGGGCCCGCCGCGTCAGCGACATGGCTCTCTTCTCGGCCCTTCGTCGTCCTCATCGCCTCGTTTCCCGCGGCGAATCAATGCCAAAGCTGCCGCGCTGCCGCGCCGGTCAGCCTGCACCATTGATGCCTCACGGGCGGCGCAGTGAAGACCGGACGACGCGCGTCCCTCGCCCTCCCTCGCCTGCCACGTGTACACACGGTGACACGCGCGCCTTGGCCTATATATGAAGCGCCCCGGCGCACTCGGCGACTCACACTCTCCCGCCGCCGTCGTTCCTCCCTCTCCTCTCCTCTCTTTCGCCGTCCCCAGTTCACACCCATGGCCGAGCGCTTCCCAGGCGACGGCGCGGCGGCGAACGGCTTCGGCCGCCGCCATCTTCACGAAGACGAGGCTCGCCTCCTTTACGAGGCCGAGTACCCGGTCCCGCCGGACATGCGGGTGCCCGGGACGTGGAGGATCAGCCCGGGCGGCGTGCCGGTGCCCCTGGTACCGACCGGCGCGGCGCGGCGTGCGGAGATCGCACGCATCCGCTCAAACCTGCCGCGTGCGGCGAGGAAGGGGCCACGGTACGCCCCCGACAGCCCGCTCTGGGAACCTTACTTCCGCCGCCGTCAGGCCGAGCAGCTCGAGGCCACCAACGGCGTCGTGCCCTCCGGCAGGCTCAACGCCGCCGGCCGGCGTCTGTGGTGGGGCGTGCCCGGGCGCACGTTGGAGGCCGTCCTCGAGTACATCGAGGGCGGCAACACGCCGCGCCTCGAGTACCCCGCTCCCCCTTCCTTCTCACGCCGCCGGGGAAGCTCCTGGACCCCGAGGCGCATGGAGACCGGGGGGTCCTCCTCCTCGTCCGGCGGCTCGCCCTGCCTCCGCCCCGTCAAGCCGGAGCCCCAGGACACGCCAGTCAGCGCGCGCACCCACAGCTCCGGCGGCGCCAACGCCTCTCCACCCATCGGCCGCTTCGTCCTCGCTGAGCCCAAGCCGGAGCCCGTCCTCCCCGCGGAGTACGAGGAGATAGCCCGGCGCGGCTTCTCCAACGAGGACGCCATGCGGTGGGCGCGGGACGACTACCTCCGCGACGAGATGGTCCGGCAGCGCCGGGCCCTGGAGGAGATCGCCGCCCGCAAGCGTGGGCGCGAGGACGAGCACGGCGTCGTGGTCCTCGACAGCGACGACGACGACGACGACGCCCCCGGACCGTCCAACCCGCCGCGCCAACCGGGGGAGGGATGCAGCAGGGACGGCGGAGGCGGCGACGACGACGACGACGATGATGACGACGACGGCGGTGACTACACGCGGTTCTACCGCCTCCTCGGCATGTAGAACCGCATGGGCGGGCGGCGAGGGAAACGGCGGGGTTAGCCCGCGGTAGTTTTTTTCTTTTTTTGTAAAATATGTTTAAGTTTGAACGAACTCGCCGATGTTTGCGTTAACTTTGAGTCGTTTTTGCGCCGTGTTTGATTTTTTTGACTAACCGTGAGGGCCGCGACTGGGGGGTATCACGCCCCCAGTGCGCGGTTTAGCGCCGGTGCGCCCCCAGGGGGCGATTTTTTGCCCCTCCTGAAGGACCAACGGCTAGAGACGATGCCCTAATTTGGTTGCTGTGGTTCAGTGCTGGGGTTGCCAGCAGCTTGGGCT